TTATATCCTACGGATAAAAATTTAAGGGATTATTTAGCATGGAGACAAGCTGATGCTCATGTAAATAATTTATATAATACTTGCTTTTGGAATCTTGTATTAAAAGGAAAATTAACTCCAAGCCAGGTAAATTATTATAATTTAGCTTTTCTCAATTTTTATGTATTTTTATATATGTTATTATAAAAGTAATAATTATATATAAATATATATTATATTATTCATTTTATTTATTTTTATTTATTATATTATTTTATATAGATATATTTATATCATATTTTTTAAAATTATTATTTTATTTATAGTTATTTATTTTATAATTATTATTTTTTTATTTTTAGGCAGAGGTTAAGCTTAGAGGTACATTGGCTTCACATAAAAACGAATTACTTTTTCAAGAATTTGGTATAAATTACAATAATGAACCGCCACTTTTCCGAAAAGGAACTACACTTATAAGAAAATTAGTACCTGATGGAACAGGTAGACTGAAACCTGCAGTCGTTCCATTGGTAGATGATATTATTGGAGATCGTTTTTGGAAAGAAAATCCAGAAGTACTTGGATTAAAAAGTTTAGCAACTTATCAACCTCCAAATTTAGTTAATAATGTTTCTACAAATCCAATCAGAACAACAAAACCGCCATCACCAACTGCTAACATGAAACATATTAATAATACTCCACCATCTTCAGTTGCTAATGTGAATTCTATAAATGAAGAAGTACATCCAGTAAGAAGTAGAGAATCAGATGGAGAAAGAATGCAATGTGAAAGTGAACGAATTTGTAGAAGATAAGCAGTGTTTATGTCTCTTTTTTTTATAATAAATTTGAAAAATATCCTAACGGAAAATAATGAAAGTTTATTTCCAGTAATTAAGAATATTTTCATCTCATTTTATCTGAAGTCGTATTATAAAATATTAATTGTGAAAGAATTACAAAATTCAGAATTAATAATTCTGATTATATTTATGATTTTTTTGTAAATCTTTCATTCAAAAATTAAATTTTATCTTACTATTTTTTTAGAAAGTGTATTTTTATATGATAAATTACATACTCATATATGTATGTGTATTTTTATATGTATGTATATATACATACATATCACAAATAGAATATTTGAACCATTGAAACTCAAAGTTTTGAATTTTTGAATTTCAAAACTTTTTGCTATTTTTGTTGTATACAAAATTCTCAAAATCTAAATTTAGTAATTTATATAAAGAAATTTATAAGAATGTTATGACATTTAAATATAATCCAATTGAATTTATATTTAGACTTTAGATTTTTTTTAATTGGTACGATTTTACTAATCCAATTTACATAAGAAAAAATAAAATATAAAAATTTAATTTATTATAAGCCAAAAATATGATTATTATTATTATAAAATAATTATGAATCTAAGTTTAAAGAATTTCAAAAGTGAAAATTTATTAAGTTTTTAAGTTACAACAAAATATTTTAAAAAAAGGAAAAAATAAGTATTCTAGATTTCGAGAGTTTTGAAATCTTATAAAATTTAGCAAATTATGCTAAACAAGATTTCTATCCTTAATATATAAATATATATATGTATATTAGGGATATATATATATTTGTGAAATATTTTTCGTTAGGATTTTATATTTTAGACTTATTTGATTTCAGTATCATTTTTTAATAGCAAAAATACTATTAAATTATTTATGAAATGAAAGGCTGCTCTAGAATAAATGTATTAAGATTTTTATAAAAAATTTTGTTCATAAACATAAATGGTATAGGATATAGACTTGTTTTAAGCATTACAAAAATTCATATTTACTTCTGTCATTTAAGTATTTTGAATTAATTTCAAGTATAAAATTTTATTTTTGCATGTGTATGTTTAACATTAATAACTTATAATAATCCAATTATTTCAAATACTATTATATAATGAATTAATTAGAATATTATTACTTGATTTATTAAAATAAATTTTATATATTGGAAAAGATATAAAAAATATACATATTTTATAAATAAAAATATTATAAGTATTCTTTAGAAGTATTTATCTTTTTTTTATTGAATACATTGATTTATTTAAATTTGATTGATTAAATTTTATTTTTGAAATGAAATTTTGAAACATTAAAAAATCATGTATATATATTGCAAAATCATTAATATATAATTATTAAAAAAATTATTATCTTTGGATTAGAATAAAAAAAAATTGAAAATCAATTTAACATAAGATATTATTATTTAAAGTGAGTATCTTTAATTTGAAATTGGAATGCATTATATATTACTTTATATTACAATAGAATTGATAATTACAACATCAATTAATATCAAACATAATATACTGATCTACAATAAAATACACTATATACATTTATATGATATAAACTCTTATTACATATGACGATAATATTAAATAATAATTTTTAATATCATCTGTCCAATTGGCTAAATACAATCATTTTTTATTTCAATTATTATTTCAATTATTAATAATTTCAATTATTAATTAGATAATTATATTTTTTCTTTGAAATATTTTTCTTTTCTTCATAACATGAAATACTGTAATTATTAATTGTTTATAGTTAAAAAATATGATAATAAAAGGAAAAAGAGAAAAATTTTTTTCATGATATTGTTATACAGTTAAACATAAATAATCAACAAAATGAAAACTTATTAAAAAATTGGAATGTAATTGTCTATTTTAGCACGATGTTTTTGCGCAACACATTCTGCTATCCATACGATATTACGACATTCTTGTTCTTTTAATTTAAGATAACTGTAGAATACTCCAAAGTGAAATTGTTGAAGAAAAGCATGAACATTTAGACGAACCTGTGCAGTAATAACATTAAAATTAATAAGATTTGAATATATTTACTGCATTAATTTTTGTCAATAATATTAGTTTAATGAAGTAAATATAAATTTACCTCATGCTCAAAGAATTTATCTTCTAAAGTTTTATCACCAGGATTATTACCTGCACCTTCAAACAAAGCACTATATTCCTGCAAAAATAATTCAAATGTAAAATTATTATTATATTTATACAAATATATAAATATAATATATAATAATAAATATAATATATAAATAACATATAAATTCAAAGATATAAACTTCTTAAAAACTTATTTAAAAAAATTTATTAAAAATTATTTAAATAAAATCTTATTTAAAAAAAATTATTTACAGCAAAATATTCTGCAACTGCTTTGACTTGTTCGTAATCATCTGCCCTTGCCAATGCAGCTAATCCATCAGGATTCAATTTTCCACAGCGAGGATACAATTTTGCTCTGTCATCTTTACCTAATTCAGTTCCAAATGAATTGATAGTTATTATAATAGCTCGTCTATCAGCTTCAAACTGTAAATTATTTTATTATTTAATAGATTTTATTTATTAATTAATTTATTATTTTATTAATTTTATAAAATTTATTACCGCAAGTATTTCACACATGGTATCTGCAGTTGTTCCTCCAATATCTTTACAAAATTTATAAAATGCTTCTAAATAGGCTTTGTATAATGTATTTCTGATTATCTCAATATTCATTTCATCTAAATCTTGTTCAGAAATGCAATCCACAAAAAAAGGTGCTATAAATTTATTGAATATTTATTAAATAGAATAAAAAGATATAATTTAAAATATGATAAAACAATAATATTTTATAATTTTAATTTTTTATAAAAAAATTTTAATATTGTATTTCATAATAACTTATACCTAAAGGAGTATCCACTAAAACTGCATTATAAAGTTCAGCAGGTGTAGCTGCTACATGAATAGCTTCCATTTGTTCAAAACTACCAAGCGGATGACATTTAGGAATCAATTCTGAAATTGGTCTTTGATGCAAAGTACCGGTAATTAATAAGATAATATTATCAATCATATAACTATAAGTAATAAAATCTAAAAATTGTGATAAAGGTTCTACAGAATGATTGCGCATGTGTTGAAATTCTATAACAAGTTTTTCTCTCAATTTATCATCAATCACACTGACAGAAAGTGGTGATGGTTCATTAGCTAAGAAACTACCATAATCTGTACCAGCCAAATGTAGTTTTAAATCTGTAGAAATAAAAAATAATTAATATAATTAAAATAATTAATATCAAATTAATAACAATTTGAAAATTAGAATATTTTAAATTTCAAATAACGTCTACTATTCTTGAAATTGAAATATAAATGTTGAATAAAATTTACCTTCAAGAGTTTCGCATTGTACAAGATTAAGATAATCACTTTGTTGAAGAATTCCACATTTAAATCCACGGCAAAGACCCTCCAAATATCCTGCATCGATATTAAACATACAACCCTTCATTTTGGAGGATTTTTTGTCACAATTATTCCACTTTAAATATGGATCCGTCAAAATTGAAGTTGGACTCGCCCTTTTTCGTGTCGATCATATGACTATCTTGTGAGAAGTTTGCTACAAGCCATAAAAAAAAATGGCCAAATTTCTAAATAATATTGACTTCAATAACTATTGAGTATCTGATTAAACTATTCAAATTTGATTTTTTTAAAGTAGCTATTTTTTAATTATACAAGATAATATATGGAAATTTATTGAAAATCAAAAATTGAAATAATTATTAATTTAATTGAATAAGAAGAAAAAACTATTTTTATATTTTTTTTTATTTTTTATAAATTAAAATATAGATAATCTTAATTTAAAATATAGGTAATGTAAAATAAGATATAAAATATTATTAAAAACTTATTATCATTAGCAAGAATTATAAAAAATAATAGCGTATAGAAAAATATATTATAAAAAAAGATTAGATATATTATAGCTTTTAAAATTTAAAAAGTAATATTTTTAATATATCCAAAAAATGAAATTAAATAATATATTGAATTTACAGAGTAATATATAATAATTTAATATATAATTCTTTAAATAAAATTATTTTATATACATATATATATTTATGAGATATATATATGAAGTATATGTATATATAATTATGAAAATTGTTTATTCTTATTGAGAAATAATAAAAGCTTAAATAATTAAATACTTATATCATACATGAAAACATACATAGTGAATACTATATTAAAATATCACATTAGCCTTGTATATTATATGATGGATGATGCATCATAGTATAGAATATTGTTTTGTTACAATATCTTGTACCTAATGTATTTTGATTATTCAAATAATCTTAGTATTTTATTAATTGATTTATGATAATAAATATATTTCATAGAACAATATGTTTGGAAAAAGAGAGAATTTAAAACGACAAACGCGACCTGCTGATAACTTAGCGCAGGTATTATTTGATATTTTTAACCTCATTTTTTAATTGATTATTTTAAATATATTTTTTAATAGTATGGAATCTTCAATATGCCAGAAAATTTGGATGATATAGAAAATAATTTTATGGATAATGACGATGATGATAATGATGATTTGGAAGCTGAATTAGCAGCTTTAACAGCTAGTGATGATAATATTGGGAAATCTAAACAAAGTGGTAAATAAATATTACATATATATATATTTATTATTTTAAATATAATATAACATCTTTTTTGATTTATATATAGCATCTCGTAAACTTCCTAAAGAAAAAAATTTAAATGTAATAGTAGCTGAAAATATAAAAGATATAAATTTTGAAGAAGAATTATCTGATGGAGAAAATGATCCAGAATTATTGGTATAAATTCTATTTTAAAATTTTATTTATTTAAATAATAATTTTTATTTAAATGATTTTTAACATTTTATATTATATTAGAGTGAACTTAAGATGATTACAAGCGAGGAGGAATCTTCTGAAAGTATGTTTCCAGAAAAAAAAGAGAATTCAATAATTGAAAATATAGAACAATCAAAAACGCAAAATGATAATATATCTATGGAAAACATAATTAAATTATTACAAGAAAGATTACAACTTTATCAAATTGCTGAAAAAAAAGCAAAGCAAGAAAATGAACTAAGTCGAGCAAGAAGATTTAATAGAGGCATTAAAACACTTAAAGAATTATTGAATAATGTTCAAGTTGGGAAACCTATTAATGAAAGTGATATACCACCACAATTACCATCACATGCTATAGATGAAACTAGTGCAAATATATTAGAAACTAATAAAACAGAATCTACAGGTTTTTTTTCATTTTTATTGATTGTTATGTTTTTTTATGAATAATTTTTTATAGCCATTCATTATTTTTTAGAAGAAAATATTGCTACAAATATGACTGATATTATTTTACCTGAAAAAATAGATATTGTTGAAGAGCCTACTTCTACAAAAAATATAGATGAAGAAGCATTAAAATTATTAAAAGATAGACAACAAGAATATAAAATAGCTGCAATAGCATGGAAAAGAGCTGGTAACATGAAAGAGGCACTTCAATTGTTAAATATAGCAAAACATTTTGATATAGTTATTTCAGCAGTAAATAAAGGAGAAACAGTAGATTTATCAGATATGCCACTCTCTCCAAACATTCCTGATTCAACTATTATCATATCATCAGATGAAAAATCAGAAAAAATAGAAAATGAAAGACAAGAAAAATCTTCCATAGATATAATTCCAGGTAAATTTTTATAATCTTTATAACTTATTTTGTACATATAATATTATGCAAATATGATATTAAATATATAAAGTTAAAAATTATTAAAAAATTAAGTACATAATGATTTGAAAAATAGAAATGAAATCATCAAGTCCAGAAAATTTAGAAAATGCCTTAATAGAACGTCTTGAAGCATGTAAAAAAATGAAAGCAACTGCAGAAAGCGAAGGAAATTCGCATAAAGCTCGCAGATATGGCCGTATTTGTAAACAGTTTGAAGATGCTATTAAATTATGTGTTCGTGGAAAACCTATTCCTCTTGATGAGTTGCCTATTCTACCTGGTTTTGAACCCCTTACAATTGTTACACAATCTGTTCCTGATCCAGAAATAGAAAAAAATGATAAACCATCAGAATCAAAACTATCAACTAGTTCAGAATCTGAATCATTTGAAAATAAAATTTCTTCAGATCCAAAAACTCCTATTTCTCTTTCAAGAGCACAAATAGGTATATTTAATATTCTATATATTTATTATTGTTATAATACTTAATTGATAATATATTTTTAATAATAGGAAAAAAACAAGTTCAAAAGACATCACATGCAGAAAAACAGCTAGCATTATTGCAGCAACGTCAACATGAATTAAAACAAGCTGCTCTTAATGCAAAAAAAGATGGAGATATAGAATTAGCTCGTACTTATTTAAGACAAGCAAAAGGAATAGATCCATTGATTGAAGCTAGTAAAGGTGGCTTACCTGTCGATATGAATTCCATACCATTATCTCCACAAGCAAAAAAAGAACTTAATGCAGATAGTATAATAGGTTTATTGAATGATAGTTTCACAATAATTAATACCGAAGATTGTTTAGAAGAAACAAATGGAACAGACGAACAAATTTATGAAAATCTTGAATCACAATTAACAAAACAAATTAAGGTAAAATGTATACATATTATATCCATTTTAAATATACACATGTGATTATTTCTATAAGTATCAAAAATATGAAAAAATATTTCAAAAGTTATAATATAGGCATATATTATTATAATAAGTATTTATAATATTATAATATTTAATTTACAATAAGACTTTGGGATAATCTTGAATTGTCTTCTGAAAGTCACAAAAATTATTTAAATTTTTAAATGAAATCCTATATTTCTTATTATATATCTTTTATTATCTTATTTCTTATTAAATAATTTTCAAAAAAAATATTATTTACACATATACTTTTTTATGCTATTATTGAATTATTAACTTTTTTAATTAAATATCTATGTCACTGATATTAGATATCTAACTAATGTTAGAGGCTTATTCAGTCAGATTTTGTACATCATCATAATTCTAAAAAAAATTAATTTTATATATATGTAAAAAGAAAAGAAAGAGATTATTCTTCAATATGTTTTCCATTATTAAAAATACATTTCTATAATTTGCAATTATTTTTCTAGCTTCTTTAATATTTCAAATATTATTTTTTTTATATATATTATGATATTATTTTTTGACATAATATCAATTGTATTTTTAATTGGAATGCAAAAAACTATTTATTTTATATATTCTTATAGAAAAAAATCATATAGCCAAAAATCTGATAATTTCAATATTGAAATGCTTCGTCTAATTCAGCAATATTAATATTAGAAACATGTAAATTTTGAAAGTTAGTAAAATTCAACAATATTTTAAGAAAAATGCAGGTATAAATAGCATTTTAAAAATGCCTTATTGTAAACTACAAAGATATGTAATAAAAAATATAAGATTTCATTTAAAAATATAATCTTCATAAGATAAGATTATTCCAAACATTTATCATTACAATACATGCCATATAATTTTTACTGAAATATTTTTTCATATTTCTGATATTTACAGAATTAATCACATGTATACATTTAAAATGGACATTCTCAATAGTTAAATTATAATTTATTGTTTTATATTTATTTTATTTTATTTTATTTTATTATAAAATGCAATATTATAGTGGTGTTTATGCACGAGAGATCATTGTAAAGCATTAGGAGATGTATCTGGATATAATAAATGGGAACGACTTGCATTGAATTACAAACGAGATTTTGACATGTTGATAGTTCGAAAACGTGATGCACTGCCACCACCACAACATCATTATGAGATAAAAACTCATACAATAGTTCAGTTAGTATATTAATGTTTCTTAATTTATAATTTAATAATAAAAATTATTATTTTATAATTGTAAATATACTGGTTTACAGAAGTTGTACTGATTTAAGTGATAATGACATAGAAATTTCAATAATTAGAGGAGTAAATTATTCGAAAGATGCAGATACTTATGTTATATTGGAATTTCCTTATCCTTCAGATAATCCTCAATCAGATAGAACAACTACTATTAAAGGAACATGTAATCCAGAATATGAGGCAATATTTTCATTAACTGGAATAGATCGTACATCAAGACAATGTCAACGAGCATTCAAAAGACATGCATTGAAATGTCAAGTTTGGGCTAAAGGGTAATGATATAATCATATAAAATAATGATATAATCAAATTATTGATATTTAAATAATCTTTTTGTACATATTTTTAAGTATATTGATTTATAAATTTATTCTTCACTTAATTTAGTTTTTTAGAATTAAATAAATTGTACACATTACTATTTATCATTTGTTGTATATAGCATCAGATATATAATTATATTAAAAATAATAAATAGATTAGTACGTTGCTTGCAGATGCTCGCTGAATCCCATCCTGTGTTGTATTAATCCAAGGTATGAAAATTTTATATTTTTGTTATTCAATTCTTGAATTAAAAACTATTTGTAATATGCTATTATTTTTATTATTTTTTTTTTGCTTTTGTGTTTTTGCGGATATATTGTTTTCGAAAATAGCATTTATTATAAATTTATTGCAAGTGACTATTTGAAGAAATTAATAAAATTGATTATAGAAAGAAGCAATTAATATTGATTAAATTGATATATATGATTTATAAAATATATATATATATATATATAATTTATATTGCACGAGCAGTCTGTAGCAACGTAATTGTTATTTTAATTTTAACTTTAAATTGTAATGTTTAATTACAAATAATTAATGTCTGCTTTTTTTTTTATTATGTGTAATATAAATTCCTTGTCTTGCAGAGGATTTTTTAGAAGTGATAGTCTTTTAGGTATAGTGACAGTGAAATTACAACCCTTAGAAACTCAATGTGTACTTCACGATTCATTTCCGGTAATATATAATAAAAATTATTTATTAAATATTATTTTTATATACGTTTATATTAAAAAAGATTTTCTATTATTGTAGTTAATGGACGGAAGAAAACCAACAGGTGGAAAACTTGAGTTAAAAATACGATTGAGAAATCCGATTCTTACAAAACAAATAGAAAAGATTACAGACAAATGGCTAATTATTGATTATTAATATACAATATTATGAAATTATGATTTGAAGTTTTCTTTACTAATAATCACATTGTTGAGGCCTTGGAAATATAACTTGTTAATTACAATGTGATAGAAATTTATATTTTGCTTTATTAATAACTTTAAATTGATATGAAATTAATTGAATATATTTATTATATATTCTTAATAGTTTAATATATTGTAATAATATAATATATTTGATGATAAAAATATATGTATAAAAATATTTATATATAATATGTAAAGAGCACAATTTAATATGTAAATATCAGAACATATTATGTGTGTAAAGAAAATTTGTAAACATTGTGTATAGCTAGATTAATAACTATTTTTTTAATCTTAATATATTAAATAATATTTTTTTTATTTTATTTATAATTAATTACAAATCATGATAAATAATTTTAATTAATTTATATATAATTCTATAAATTTTTAATAGAAATATAAATTTTTAATCATTTATTTTCAAATAAAAAAGATGAAAATATATAGTAAATATATAAATTATCTTTTAAAATATAAAAGAGATTAATGAAATGAATATATAAAATTATATTAATTACATTGTTGAATTATTAAGTTAATTTAGATTACCAAAATATCTTTATTATCAATTAGTTAAAGGGAAATGTAATTTAATAGTCTTAAGTAGAAACTGAATTTAAGTGAGTCAATTTAATTAGTATGCATGTAAGGGAATTGTATATATCGAAGAGTTTAAACGTGAAGAAAGAACGATTGCGGATTGAAGCTGAATCCACATTTCCAGAGAACAATACATCAAGTGAATCCCACTAACAAACTATTGTCTGATAATGATTGATTTCTGTCTCCTTTCAATTCGTCATCCTACTATTTCATTCTCTTGCACGTGATTCTAACCACAAAATCTTTATTAAACTACATAATATTTACGAAATTTGAACACAAAAACAAATATTTCATTCAATGTAATAAGTATAAT